GTGAGTGCGTGTTTATCCTCTCATCCCGGTGGTGTGTGTGTGTGTGTGTGTGTGTGTGTGTGTGTGTGTGTGTCAGATATCATTCTTCACCAGCAAAAATGTCAAGGTTGGTGGCTGGTGATTACGTAACCGCGTGGGATGCTGTGCGTGTCAGTTTGTGCCCACTGGCCTGAAGTAAGAGTTTGGACACGTGTGCACGACTGTGCTGCGTGTGCACGCATGAGTGTCCTCACACGCATCGTCACGCACGATTTTTAATCGTTTGCTGTGCACGCACCGCTACGATCAGTCATGAACATTACAGCACGCACGGAGGACGAAACGCATTATTTCCTACGTACTTTTGCGCAAAATTCGCCACAACCTGGCGAAACCCACGTGACCCACGAAGCTGCTGCGTTGACTCTGCGTTTCTTTGCGCCTTGGGGGGAGGGGGGGGATAAATACGCATTTTTGGAGACAAACCCAAGCAGGCTGGGTTCGTTCCGGGGTCTGTCACTGGGTCTAGTGTGCGCCCCTGGAGCGTCAGGAGCGTGCACGTGCAGTGGTAGTACCCTGGCTGCCTCTCCAGTTTAAAAAGACGTGCACACTGCGGCACACACGCTGGCATCCACGTCCACAGACACTCAGATTACCGTGGAATCAAATAATAATCCCGGGATTTCTCATCATTCACATGTGCAGCCGAGTTTTGCCCCGGTGGTGGTGGTGGTGGGGGGGGGGGTAAAAGGGGGTGAATCAGAGGATGCTGAGAGGTTTTTAGATAAACTCCACACTTAGGTACAGGTAGAACGGCTGTGAGCAGAGGAACCACATGCGCATCCCGGACTGGATGGAGGACGGAGCCGCTCCAGCCCGGAACACGCATCGGTTCACACGCGTGCCCTTGACATTAACGCGTGATGGTCGCTCGATGTGATGGAGGAGGGGGGTGTTGGGGGGCTGTTCGTGATTAAAATGAATTGATGAGTGTATGTATGTGTGTGTGTGCGCGTGTGTGTGTATTGTGCATGATTACACTGCAGATTTCTGTTTCCACTCTCTCTGCCCCCACGGTGCATCTCAGCTGGGCTTCTTACCCCCCTGCACTCCCCCACTGTCGCCCTACTCCTCTCCTCCAACACCATCCATCCATCCATCCATCCATCCAAGAACACACTCACCTGTCTTGGTCAACAGCGCCGACATGCTCCACGCCACGAAGAGGACACTGCAGATGAAGCACACCTGGACGAACAGCATCTCCCTCCTCTTGCGAACTTTGAATATTTTGGCGATTATTGTCTTTTTAGACGAGCTCATCTCGAGCGCCTCGTCCTGCTCCATCTTTCACCGCTGCTCCACTTTTTTCTCCTTCCCTCCTAACCTCTCCTGTCCTCTCCTCTCCTCCTCCTCTTCGCTGGCGTCCTTGAGAGCCGGATCAGCTGCCGCCCCGTTTGCCTCCTCACACGGATCAGAGCCGGGATGTGCTCCTCATCTCAGTAGTACGAGCGCACACTTTCTCCCTCCCTCCTCTCCTTCCTCCTCAACTGGGAAATCGCTGGGACGGAGTCGAATGGGCAGCGAATGACAAGGCGGTCAAATTCCTACGTGGGGAATCGAATCAGTTCACAGATGGTCCTGGTCTGGAATCGGATTCTGAAAGAAGGCGACGAGCAGCGGACAGGAGTCTCCCACTGTACCGAGCATCCTGTCCCGGCAAGAAGACGGAGAAAAACAAGAATATATGAGCAGCAGTAATCTCTCTCTCTCTCTCTCCCCCACTCTCTCCCTCTCTCTCTCTCTCTCTCAGTGTGTGTGTGTGTGTGTTTCTCACCCTCTCTCTGTCTAATCCGTGGACTTTTTTGCGTCAGACTGTGATCAGTGGAGGAGTCCCACACCTGCGCCCGTGGAGTGAAAACAATCCGAGCTCATCAAGGTTAATTGGTTCAACCGGAGCCAAACGAGCAGTCGTGCCACTGCTCACACACACACTCACACACACTCACACTCACACAGGGCACCTCCCTCCCCCCCTCCCCTCCCCCCTCCACATAGATTCCTCCTCAGTGCAG